ATGCCAAATGTACATAACAGGTAGAAGAAGGCGTCGTAGACCCTATGCTGTAGATACATTTATGATCAGCATGACGCATGATGTCGCAGCAATACACAGAGCATGTTTATAATAAACCACCGATAAACTGATTATTATACATAGCCATAGACCGATAGTTCGAAAATCACCCTTCCTACTTGTATGATAACATTTAAGCTTCCTAAGATAATCTTATCAAAAGTATTAGTCAGTTGAAGCTTAAGTTTTTTTAAAGCTCCAGCTGGAATGATTGGTACAGCAATGTTTGATTTAGTTACAGAGCTGTAGCGGGGAAAAGTATGGGTACAGAGTATTCGAAATTCCACCAGGCACGACAAACGTCCTAACAATGTTTTCTAAATGTACGAAAACGTATCAAAATCGAATCAGAAGCATACACAGTTGCCACTAAACAATAAACGACAGCTGAGTAGTAACTAATAAATATTTTTTGTATATATTTGTTTAGTTCTGCATGCAGATGATTTGTGTTTATAAATCTTAACAATAAATAAAATGAATAAACCAAGATACTTGTATCTGTTGATTTATTAGTTTGGAAGGACAAAGCCTAGAGGTGTACATATGTAGGTGTGTGTTTGTTCTTTTACTTGAACAGCAATAATGGGAAAATGAATCGACAGCCAGTCCACATCCAAATGAAAGGAAAGAATGTAAGACGTTGTATTAGACCACGTTTTTGAAATGCTGAGCAATATATATGATGATTAGCATTTTCGCAACACATTACAAGTTGACTCTACAAGTATATGCTAGGCTAGTGTACTTATTTGCATATTTTGAATGCTTTAGGCCGGCTAAGTAAACTCGATTTGTGTTCTGCAGCCTTGGGAGTCTGCTCGTAAAAGTAAAAGTGTTTCAACATTTATTCATAACTGCCTGATGTTTTACTCTATAATTAAATGGCTTCCAATTATACAAGTACTCGTATGTATGTATATAGTTTGTGTGTTCGTATTCCTTCCTGCCCCGCACGCATAGCTGCTTGCTTGGCCCTTCTCTCTCGCTGGGGAGCTGTGGTTGAGTCCCTTAGTGGATTGCTGTTGTTCAGCTTGTTGTTGTTGTTGTTGCTACTGCCACTGCCACTTTTTGCCAATTACACGCCGCTGCTGCGCATTTTGCTGATTGCTGCGCGTTTAATGCGCTGCCAACATTGTTGTTGCTATTATTGCAGCTGCTTGTCGTTTTTCTCGCCCTTTAGCTCACACACTTTGTGTGTAAATGTGGCCGAGTTCGTGTGTGTGTGTGTGTGTCTGTGTGTGTGTGTGCCTCCCTATTCCAAACAATATAATTGTGTTTTAAGTGGCATTTGCTTTGGGGATTCTGGCAGCAATGCGAGTGTCGCGTTTTTGTTTGCCACTCGTCTATTGCGGCAAATTTTGGATAAATTATAATGTAAGCGCTAGGGGGGTGTGAGTGTGTATGTGACAACATTGCGCATACGCAACGGTTTGCGGGCCCTGTGAATTGCAAAACAAACAAATAAACTAAACCAAGCCAAGCCAAACCAAACAACCTAACAAACACAATCGATTGTTTGCTCAAATTTAAAGACCACACACAAGTGACGTCACGTCCGTTTGTCTGTCTGTCTGTCTGTCCGTCTGTCTGTACGTTTGTCAGTTTGTTTGTCTGTCCGTGTTTGCGGTCGCTTTTAATTTAAATGAGTTTCCTTGCCGGGCATAAATAAGTAAACCCATAAACATGCATGACAATGCCCAATGACGATGCTGTCGAAAAATCTCTCTTTAGTTTTATTTGTTGGGCTATATAGATTAAATCCACAGAGCGCCGCGCGCGCCGCCGACATCCGACAGCCGACAGCCCCGGCCACTATATGCAAATGAGTCACGCACATGTCGGCCTGACATTTTTTTTTTCTTTTTTTTTTTTTGATGTATGTCGACCGTGGAAGCCTGAGGAAGCTGAGGGTCCTGAGGTCGCAATGCTGCGACCAGCGTTAATGTTATTTTTCGCAGCTTCCAATGCGCGGCGAGTGGTGCAAGGGCACGAGCGGAGGCAATGGCAACGCCAATGGCAAGGCGTACATACATAAGCGCACGTAACGGCCAACTACGGCTAAAATCGGCCCAACCACGTCCTCAACGCCCTCATCGTCGCCATTGCGAGTAAATGAAATTATGGCGACGGCCTCAGCCTGGCGGTTGACGGTTGGCGATGACGGCGACAAATCCCTTTGAATAAATCCTGTCTGGGCATAAAAAATGATAACACAAAATAGCGAAAATGTTAAATTAAATGAAATTTAAATTAATAACCATGATTTGTTATGGCAGTCATGATGCACTCCAGCAGCCCTTTCTTCAGCCAGAACCCCTTCCCCTTCCCACAACCATTCAAGCACTTTCAAAAATTGCAATCAAATGGCAGCACAGCCTTAACCCACTTTTTGATTCTTTGCCACAAGCGGCACGCCACATCGTTCAAGGACAGGGCATATGAAAGTTTCCAAAAGTAAATTCTGAATATTCCAAGTTTCCTTCAAAGAACGGCAAAACAATATGCCCCATCTAGGATAATATGTATGGCATTGTACACTCATAAAGGAATGTAGCATGTCCACAGAATTATCCACAAAATCATTGCGAATGCCCCGACTCTATAGCCCTATCTTATTCCTTATTCCCTAGCTCTAGTCTGCAATTAACTCAATAAGTTTAATTTATATATACATATGTACATATGTAGAAGTACATATCCGATATATTCCATAATAGTGCAAAATAATTTATATTGATCTAAAACTAAACGCAGATCATTCCCGATCATATATCGGCTCTAGGTACGCCCTCCAAGAGAGTGGATCAACTTGAGGAGGTCGGAGCGCTTCGCCTTGACCACGTCGAGCTGCAAGGGGGGCAGGCCATCGACGCTCTCGTAGCGATTCACATAGTCAGCTATCTGGTCGGCCATGCAAATGACGTGGATGCCGCAGTCGTATCCATTGGATTGCTGGAGGCAGCGCATGGGACGAAAGCGCGCCTGACGCATGTCCAGCACATCCTTCACGTTGTTCATCAGCTCAATGGAAGTGCTCGTGTGATTCCCGCCATACGAGTCGAAGTGGAAGAAGCACTTGTCCGGCCGGGAGACCACCAGAAGCGACCAGTATGCGCCCCCCAGCTCGTTCGACTTGCTGTCGCCCAGCGCAATGAAGATGAACGGCTTGCGCCGCGCGTCGTGCTGTGTCACCAGCAGCGCCTGCAGCTCCTGTTCGTCCATGTAGAGCATGCACTGCCCCATCTCGGGAGTGATGAACAGAAAGTCCTTGTTCCCCTTGTACTTCATCTCGGCGAGGTAAGCAAAGTAGAAGTTCATTAGCGCCTCGTTCAGCCAGTGCGGGCCGTGCAGGAGCTGCACGTCCGACATCCGCAAAGAGTTCACGTCGATCTTCAGCGAGACTGGATCGGCCCGGGACGTGGTCACCTTTCTGTGCGATGTGGAGCAATGGAGCGTCGACTTTGATCCGACATCAGTTCCACTGCTCTTCCTAGACGGACTGCCTCCGCCTCCGCCACCGCCACCGTCGCCGTCGCCACCAAAGCTCCCATCGCCCCCGCCAGATGCAGCGTCCAAGTTGAGTTTCTCGCCGCTGCCCACATCTGATTCCACCGCCTCTGTGGCTTCACTCTCCTCGGTCGTCGCCGAGGCAGCCGCTTGTGCCTGTCGCTTCGCGCGCTTGCTTTTCGCGTTATTCCGCGGCATCTTCCAGTTGTCTCTGATCAGATGAATCGGCTCTGCACAACGGATGTGCGAGTTTTAACAATATTTGGTGTTTATATTTGTAAAATATATTTATAAAAATGGGGCCCTTTTCGTCGTCGTTATGTTGGGTGCCTAAATAAATCTGAATAACTTCATGAAATAGCTCAGACAGATTGTCGCCGCAAGGTCGACAGCTTTATCAAGGCTGGGTTGAGGCAGGCATGCTCGGAGGACGGTACTCACAACGTAAACACAACAAATGGAAATCTTGTGATGGGGAAAAGTTGTGGTAAGTCAGAATAAACTTTTAGCCTTTCGTGTATTGTTGTTCATAGGAGCTGCCAGACTGCAACTGTTTAAAATTTAGTGCTGGCAACGCCGTCCTCTTAACTTCTATGTTAGAGATGAGAGCCAGCGATGCGAATAGGAGGAAATACGTAGCTAAAGAATCCGATTCTGGCATAAATCTAAGTGTTACTTGAAAAGTTATACTCAGCAAATATGCGAAGCTTAATCCCTGCCGTCTAACTTAATGATGATCAGCAAGCAATCAGGTGCTGATTGCGAACTTTAACACTTTCGGGCAATTATGTACAGCTTCAGACAAGAGCGTAGGCAGCTTTTACCAAAGGGGAGGCCAAAAAATTAAAATTTTGATTAAATAATGCACGATGCATTTAAAAAATAACTAATGGAAAAACTTCAACAAATCCAACTCAGATCCATTTTAAGGCAAAATAATGCGTCGAAATAATGAACGTGTGGTCGACTTTATATGGAAACATTTTTTCAGGGGGGCAACGGCCCCCCCTGCCAACGCCCTTGGCATCAGATATATTGGTTTTGATCACTTAAAGCTGAAAGTGAGGTTAGATAGATTTTTGATAATCTTCGATAAATAACTTCATAACCATCTAATACGAATGAAAACGCTTCTAAGCTAGTCAAAGAGGAATGGAACATTTATGAAATAGGTATAGAAATAGATAGAGAAAAATAGGCCAACTCAAACAAAACTGTTGCCATTCGAATCAAGCAGTGCGTTTTTATTTCGTTATTATTTGAAATACATAGGAACTATTCAATTCTGCAACTATAAAGTCAAGATAGAGCTGTCATTATTCAGACTTGTTTAGGCACCCAACATAACGACGACGAAAAGGGCCCCTTTTTTATAAATATATTTTACACCACATATTGTTAAAACTCATCTGATCAGAAACAACTGGAAGATGCCGCGGAATAACGCGAAAAGCAAGCGCGCGAAGCGACAGGCACAAGCGGCTGCCTCGGCGACGACCGAGGAGAGTGAAGCCACAGAGGCGGTGGAATCAGATGTGGGCAGCGGCGAGAAACTCAACTTGGACGCTGCATCTGGCGGGGGCGATGGGAGCTTTGGTGGCGACGGCGACGGAGGCGGTGGCGGAGGCGGAGGCAGTCCGTCTAGGAAGAGCAGTGGAACTGATGTTGGATCAAAGTCGACGCTCCATTGCTCCACATCGCACAGAAAGGTGACCACGTCCCGGGCCGATCCAGTCTCGCTGAAGATCGACGTGAACTCTTTGCGGATGTCGGACGTGCAGCTCCTGCACGGCCCGCACTGGCTGAACGAGGCGCTAATGAACTTCTACTTTGCTTACCTCGCCGAGATGAAGTACAAGGGGAACAAGGACTTTCTGTTCATCACTCCCGAGATGGGACAGTGCATGCTCTACATGGACGAACAGGAGCTGCAGGCGCTGCTGGTGACACAGCACGACGCGCGGCGCAAGCCGTTCATCTTCATTGCGCTGGGCGACAGCAAGTCGAACGAGCTGGGGGGCGCATACTGGTCGCTTCTGGTGGTCTCCCGGCCGGACAAGTGCTTCTTCCACTTCGACTCGTATGGCGGGAATCACACGAGCACTTCCATTGAGCTGATGAACAACGTGAAGGATGTGCTGGACATGCGTCAGGCGCGCTTTCGTCCCATGCGCTGCCTCCAGCAATCCAATGGATACGACTGCGGCATCCACGTCATTTGCATGGCCGACCAGATAGCTGACTATGTGAATCGCTACGAGAGCGTCGATGGCCTGCCCCCCTTGCAGCTCGACGTGGTCAAGGCGAAGCGCTCCGACCTCCTCAAGTTGATCCACTCTCTTGGAGGGCGTACCTAGTACCTAAGACACTCCTCCTATTCGCCACATGGAAGCGGGAGCGGGATCGGGTGCTCGCAGAAGTCTCAGGCAAAACGGGATCGATTTGCGTGATCTGTGTTTGGCTTAAGCTCAATATTAATTAATTACTATTATGGAATAAATCGAATATATATAGCAAATCAGTTCAAGCTAATTGCTCTTTTCCCATACCCTAATGGCCTTGCAGAAAATTGGATACCATTTTATTTATTAAAGTTATTGAGTTAAAGGTCCAACTTTTGTGAATTCAATTCTATTCAAAGGATTGCAACCTCTACTTTAGTTAAATCAATTCATTGTTTTTAAAATGAAGTAACTAATAGTTAACTTACTTTTCAAATTTCATATTAACATCTATACACACTTGTATATATAAAGCAGTTTATCCTGACTGATTGGTGATCAATGCACAGCCCAGACGGTAAAAGCTAGGAAGCTGAAATTTGGATTTAAGTATCCTTTCATAGTGTAGGTGTGCGCTAAGAAGGGATCTTGGAAAATTTTGAGCTCCAAAGGGGGGAAACTATGTGGAAAGTTTGTTTGAAAAATCTTCAGTTTTGCACCGATCAACTTAAAATTTTTAAAAGAATATAAACATAAGTATATATGTATAAGTTATTATAAAAATATAGTTGTATTAGAAACGATCCGTTCAAGAATATTTAGTACTAATAATAATAATAATAACTTTTTGATTTATATCTGTACCGAATTTCGTATTTATGGGTTTTTTAATGCAGTTTAGCCAAAATAGCTTGATTATATCATATAGCTGTCATCATGATAAGGATCGGTACAACAAAGTTTATTTTAGAGGGGAACCGCCATGAATCGCGTTGTCACGACCTTAACTCTCTATTCGTATTTCTTGCTAACGGCTTTTGGAGAAGAATAAATGATTGCATTTGGAAAATAATAGAGTACATATAATTAATAATTTGGTGTATTGTGGGAAACTATCCAAGTGCCACTGGATGCTATCCATCTCTATGTCGATCTCTCTTCTATGCTGCCCAAGTGGATGAAAACATCAACAAACCTGCAGGAAGGAGCTTAAAGGACTACTTTTCGGGCTGACTGTGACTGCTGCCTTCGTTGAGTTCTTAGGTGCGCGACACACGCACGGTGGTGCTGGGCATTGGGAGAGTGGGGTGAGGTGGGGTGAGGGGTGGGGTGGCGGCTTGCTGTGGCTTTGTGGTGCCTGAACTTTGGCTCCTTAAAGTGTAAACTCAATTTACGTGATCGAATTTTTTTATGGCACTTTACCTGTAATGAGATTCTCTACGCGATTTTATTTGATTTTGCTGCCTTATCGATGTATGTGCGTGGTTGTGTGTGTGAGTAAGTGTGTGTGTGTGTGTAGGGGGGTGGGGTGGTAGGGAGGTGTGTTTCCTCTTTCCGTTTACCATTTAACTCTTGGCCTTTGCTTCCTGCCCTTTAATGTTGCAACTTTTTCGACTTATTCATTTATTTGTGAGAAGAGCACTTGACTAGCGGCGTTTCTTCTTCTTCTTTTATTTTTGTTTATATTTATTATTTTTTTGTGGGCTTGTTGCGAATTGGATTTTATTTATTTTGCACTTCATAGACGATGCCTTGCGTGAAATTTTCATAGCGTGCAGCCGGAAAGCGTTCTCCCATGTGGGTGTGTCGGTATGTGCGTGAAATATCGCGTGCTAAGAGTCCTTGAGGGCAACAGCAACACCAACAGCATCAACGCCAACACCAACACCAATACCAACAAAATCCTTCCCAGCAGCACACGCTACGTATGAGTAATGTGTTGAGCAATGTTGCTTGCAGCTGACTTAGGCGCATAGGCGGATAGGTGAGGATGGCGATTGAAGTGCTATTTAAGTTAATGGCTGCTTCATTTGTACCTCTACAGCTGTGCCGATTCATTCCGAATATATTCAATTGAAGAGGCAAGCGGTGGCCACACTAAACCAAACAATTGAGGAGCTGTGTTGTTTTTGTCATAAGTGCTTATAGAACATCTAAATTTGAAATTTCTTGGAAATATGCAGACTGCGGAAGATCGCAAAATGTGTCAATGGGTATTTCCTATTTAATCTTATAATTTATTTATCTATCTACAACGAAGCATTGCAATTATTTTCCCAATATAGTCTTTCCTTTTAAAATATACTTTGTTGCACCAATTATTCCCCCGACAGCTATATATCATAGATCACATAGTTCATCGATTTTTTATAAAAGTTAGAAAATATTAAAAAAAATACTTGCTATGAGAATATTTCTTTAATTTTATTTATTGGAAATTTCACAATTTAATTCACCAAATGTATTATTTAATTATTCAGAAATTTCACAATTTAATTCTCGATATGCCAGCGCTTAGGTACTTGGTATGAGAATCGCAGAGGAGGGCGGCACTAATATTTTTATTTAATTTATCAGAAATTTCACAAGAATTAAGCCTTCAGCTGTTAGTCCGAACATAGCTCTAAGCTAAGATACATCTGCTTCCCTAGAGTTTAGGCTCCTATTTATTTTTATTTATTAGTGTTTGCATTTTTCTTCTTCAGCTAGTTAACAACTAAACATATTTCGTTCTTAAAGAGAACTTCCTCACTCATTCATCAAATTGAACTAGAATGGCCTGAGTCTTTCAACCCCGACAAACAGCATTAGATGCTTTATTAAAAAATATATTTGGTAATCGATTTTAATGAATCCTAAATAGGTTCATGGATATCCTGAAAACATTGCTTTTAGTTTATAATTTATGTAAATAGTTATTTCTAATTAATTTCATTCATTTCTTCTGCCCCAGCTCTATTATAAGTGAGCTTATAAGCAGTCAGGAATAAAGTTTATTTGCACAAACTTACGAGCAATGTCCGAGCCAAGTTGCCTGGCTATAGCTTTCATAGTTTGCGAAATCCAGACGTTCAGACGTGCAAACAAAAAATGGCGAAGGAACAGCAAATTTGCCTCCCAACATCAATGCAAAGCGCTGATCCAGAGGAAGTGATCAAAAGAGCCTTTGATTGTGCCGGTGAAAAGAAAATAGGTGTGCTACGCTAAAGTTGAACTACAGATAGGAATGTTCTTGTTGATCCCGAATTCAAACGAATTCTAGAGCAAGGTGCCAAGGAAAGGAACAAACAGTAGTATTTGTTCCTTAATGTCAGAGCTGCATATGTGATATCCCAAATGCCTTTTGGGATCTTTTTTAATTTGAATTTAGAGTTTATCTTGGTACGCAAGGAAAACATTTTCTGACGGTCTTCAATAAAATCTGTATAAACTCACAAGTTCAAAGGATTTCACTTGCTCGCCAAGCTTAAAGCTTTTCAATTTGAGATCCAACGGCAGCAGCACAAGAGGCGCCAAAACACTCCGCCGAACAACTCTGACCTGACTGCTGGCTAATGAGCCATGTGCCTGGCCCCTCCTCCAAAGTATTCAATTCAACACAAGGCAGCCGACAGTTTCAGACCAAAATCACATTTTTATGTGCCTCATGCGGGTGTCTGTGTGAGTCTGTGTGTGTGTGTGTGTGTCTGCACGGTAATAAAATATTTATGGCATTTACTAAAACACTAAACCAGAATGTTGCACTGGCCCAGCAAAGGCGTCCGACAGTGCCGTGTTGAAGGGTGGGTGGGGTTGGGAAGGGGGTTGGGGGGCAGGTTGTTGAGAGGAGAGGAGGGTGGGGTAAGTAGGCGCAACATATGGAACATGTCCTTCAAGTCACTCAATCAATTTGGCTGCAATCGCGACGTCTGCCATGGCCAAGTCTGAAGACTATAGACTACGCGCTACATGAGACGCATGCAGACCTTGGCGGCCGGGCTGTACATCTCTCCTTAAACACACCCACACACACCCACACACACACACACACACACACATACATGCATGTGTAGATATGTATGTTAGGCGTAATGTGAAACGATGTCAGCCAGTGTGCGCGGTCACATAAAACACTCAAGCAGGACGAGAGCAGGACACACCTGCGACAGAATGTATGCCAAGTGGCGTTGGCATCTCACTTGACTTTAAAATGGCAGCGAGCACGGCTCTATGTGTGAGTTGTGGGCGTGTGTGTGACCGCCTGCTGGTCTGCCTGCCTGGCAGCTCTGATAGCACACACACACACACATATACAAATACACACACACCACTGCCCCTCCCTGGAGGCACCATGACGCTGACGGGGCGGATACGCGATAAGAAGCAATGGCAGCAGTTGGCGTGGCTACCAGGCTAAGGCTAAGCTCCATACACTGCAACAAATTGGACGACAACAAGAGAACCAATTACAATTCATACTTGTAGGAAAACCATCTGCAAAGTAAATGAAATGCTTATTTTTATTCTAATTTTGTAATTTTATTGAAATGTTGGGCTTCCAACAACTGTTCGCTCGCACGAGTTATTATTGCATTTCTCTCGGAATGCGGCTATAACGGCATTTAAAGCTGGCTTCTTAGGGCAGCTTTTCGTGAATGCTTTTCGTCTGTTCCTTCTATGGATCGAGAAAAGCATGGTCTTCCCATTGCTTCGATGGGAAGAGATAATGGAAATGATTTGTTAAAACAGTATGGAATTCTTAAGCAGAAACAAGTTTTTTTGGGCTGTAGTTAGGAATTCTGGGACCCTCCTTAATTTATTTATTGTTCATTTTATTAGTTACAATAGGCAAGGCAGTCGAAAACATTTCTTTTATGTTTTCAAAGGAAGCTCTCATTAACCTAATTTTATAATTATCTCATTATTTTACTATAACTGCTAAGCAATTTCAATGGAATTTTGATTAATCGCTCAAAATTAAATTATAAAATAATAGAATTCTAAAAAAAGCACAATTATCGAACTGCTCGATAGAAGAAGCAAATAAAAACTATCGTTCAGGTTGCATGTGAGGAGAAGGATTTAAGCAAACAATATAAAAATTAAATCCAACAATATGCTTAAATGAAAACTATTTGAATTCAATTCGGTTAAGCATTTAATAAATGGATTGGTTTTACTTACAAGACAATTAAAATTCAAGTTCTTTTTAAGATAACACTTTGTTTAATGCTTACCATATTCTGCTTGAGAGACTCGCGACTGGTTTTTAGGAACCATACCCAGAGTGGAAGAAAATACTGCTCAGATCAGGCACTGG